TTAAACCCATGAAATTTGGACATAAAATATGAAAAATCCTAATTACCACACAAACCCTAATTGATCTTAAGTTCTTATTTTTAGTTATTTTATCACACTAATTCGACTTTATTATTATTCTAATTTATATATTAATTAGGGTTAATCACACTCCCCAACTTAAACTTTACTAGTCCCTAGTAAATAAATAGGAAAAAATTATTAACATCATATAATACAAAAGGAGGTAAAATCAAATTTGCTTATTTTTTTACGATTTCATTTAGTATATGCAATAAGCCTTTAAACCCCTAGGTGATTCCTAGTAGACGAATTTTGTCTTGTGAAAGTTTTCAGTGAAACTGCCTACAAATTTCAGTAATTAGGAATTCATGATTCATATTTTTTACAAGTAAAATTAAATTAATATTCTATTTGTCTTGTCAAGATATTTCCTTCTCTGATCACTATAAGAGTAACACACGTTAGTTGTAATATTATTTATATATTTTTATAAAAACTTGTGTGCGTGTGTAATGATTTCTTTATTTTCGAAAATCACTTGAGAAACATTACCCTTTTTTCTGGTAGTTTTGATGTCAATTCTTCCCTAAAATACACTCAGTAAAAAGAATACACCTGTTATAGTGACTATTCTCATAAACTACATGTGTTTGGAATTGAGTTATCAAAACAATTAATTTCACATGTAGTAATCAAAAGAACGATTAGTTGAAGAAAATGGAATTTGATATAATCTCATGAAAGAATATTAACACTATATTAAATATATTATTAACATTTTCCTTTTTAGCATTAATAGAACTAATACAAATATATGATTTCTAGAATCAAAAAAGACTTTATTAGGGTTATAATGTGACCATGGGTTTAAAGTTTATGAAACGACGTAATTGAATTTTAAATGCTATCTTTTAGTATTGTGGCACACCTTCTTCTATTTTTCTAGGATTTCACATGTTTCTTTTTCTTTCTTTTTTTTCATTTTTCACTTGGTTTTTTTTTTTTCCAGAATTTTCTTGTCTCTTTCTTTTGCTTTTCTGTTTTTCTGTATCCTGCTGAGTTAGACAAGGGTACAAGAAAATTAGATAGCAAAGGTAAGTTAATATCTTTTTATCTAGCTCGGGTGTTTCTTAGGTTTAAAGAAAGGAATATATACTCTTTTTAGACTCAATCATGGCTAACTACAAATATAATTTTATCAAAAAAATAGTTAAGGTTCAAAATTTAATCAAACATGACCTAAAATCATTTTCCAAAAATTATATATATGTATAAATTCTATATGAAAGTTAAGGACAATGCTAATAATACAATGTAAGCAGTGTTAATCAAAACAAAGTTAATGAGATTATTCAAGAAAAGTTTACCGCTGAATCGAAGATTTGTATTTAAGTAGATATAGAGTATCTCTCCAAGAAAGATTGGTTCAAAATCTGCAATAGGTTTACATCTCCACCATATATGCAAAGAGTATAATATTTCACAAGATTTTTATCGATAAAACAATCTAATGTGCTCTTAAGACTAAGTTTCAATCATTACAACATAAATCATTATTTGCTACGTTTTTTTGTGACCAATTTTAATTCATCGCCAAAAGTCTACTAATACGCAACGATTTCATACTTTTGTCGTAAAAATATTTTTTTGGGGTACTTTTTTGCGACGTTGTGATAAGGTGATTCCCTACCAATTGTTTTTGGCGCAAGAAAATGGCGGCAATTGATGAATTTTTTCGACAAAAAAATATTGTCACAGAAAGTATGAATTTGTAGCCAATTAAATAATAAAAAATTAAAATAAAAAATAAATTCAAAATATATCTATAGTAACGTTTTTTTTCATCGCAAAATTTAAATTTTAGTGTTTGAAATAATAAAGTACTTTTGCGACGTTTTTATAAATACGTTATAGAAAATAAATTTTATTTTTTTTTCTGAAACAAAAGTAATATTTTGCGACATTTTTGGTACGTCACAGAATGTAATTTTAAATTAGACTCAAAATATTATTTGCAACATTTCCTAAAAACGTCGCGCAAAGTAATTCCCTCCCAATTTTTTTTGGCGGAAGAAATGGCGGGAATTGATAACATAAAATTAAAATAAAAAATAAATTCAGAAGCCATATTTTGCGACGTTTTATTTTCGTTGCAAAAAACAAATTTTAGTTATTCAATTTTTAAAATATTAATGTCTATTTGCGACGTTTGTTGTGTGTCGCAGAATGTAATTTTAAATTAAACTCAAAATATTATTTGCGACGTTTCCTAAAAACGTCGCGAAAAATAATTCCATCCCAATTTTTTTTGGCGTGAGAAATAGCTAGAATCGATAATATAAAATTAAAATAAAAAATAAATTCAAAATATATATTTGGCGACGTTTTAACTTTTCGTCGCAAATATAAATTTTAATTATCAAAGTTATATGAAATATTAATGTCAATTTGCGACGTTTCGTAAATTCGTTGCCGAATATTTTAATTTATTTTTTAAAGTAGTATTGGCGATAGTTTTTTTATTCTGTCACATAATATAATTTTAATAATTCTAAATTAGACTGAAAGGTTAATGACGACGTTTTGTAATAACGTCGCAAATAAGTGATTCCCTCCCAAATAAATAATATAAGATTAATAAAAAAATAAAGTCAAAATATATAGTTCGCGACATTTAAATTTTTCGTTGTAGAATACAATACAACAAAAACATTTATTAATTCGCAAATTTTTTTTTCCTCGCAAAATTGTCATTCTCTCTATCTCTTATTTGCCGCAAGTAATTGCGGGAAATGACAATATTTTTTACGACAAAATTTTTTTGTCGCAAAAATTAAATTAAAATAAAATAAAAAAGTTAAATTGGAATCTTTTTTTTTTGGTGCAAGAAATGGTGGGAATTGAAATTTTTGTGCAACAAAATTTTTTTGTCGCAGATAATTTTAATTTGTTGCAAAAATAAATAAAATTTAATAAATTTTTTTTTTGTATTAAATAAGATTATTATATCGTAATATTTTTGTATTCGTCGCAGAATTTAGTTTTTGTAATTTTAAATTAGAATTAAAATTATAATTGCGACGTTTTATATTTTGTTGCATTACAAATTATTTTATTTTAAACTAGCAATTGCCCGTACCTGAAGGCACGGTGTTACTTGTAAATTAGTTATAAATATTTGTCCATACATAAATGTAAAATAAAATACAATATTATAATAAATGACGAATAAAATGAGCTCGCTAATATTTTTTATAACATCAACTTACATGCATAGCATATATTTCTACATTAAATTGTTATATCACGAATTATTTAAATTGTTAAATTGTTACATCAACTTACATGCATAGCATATGGGCTTCTGATAAGCTTCCTGAGTTCATTGGAACTCTTACAGATCTCGAGGACCTTTATGCATGAATTCCTATGTGAATTTTCATTTCTTAGAATGGATATTTTGTAAATGGTGTTTTTTCGGTCTTATGTTCTGCATGGAACTTCTGTCAATTAACAGGAGAATTCAAGGAACAATGCTTGAGGGCCCAATTCCAAGCTGTTATGGTTCTCTAACAAAACTGGAGGACTTGTAAGGACTTGCATTGGTTTGTTTACATTTTCATTTAGTTTAATGAAAGATCATATGCTGTACTCACGAAAATATAGTTGAGGAAACTTCATTGTTGGATTCATGTAGATGAGAGTGGACATCCAATGATCTACACAAGATCCTCCCATGTGATCCGATGCAAGTGCAATGTTCATTCCCGAAACTGCTCTGTTGCACTTTTGCACACCTTTTTTTTTGGGATAACAAACTAAAGCAATGAATTACCTATAATGCAATTCAAAATTTAAGGGAGGTTTCCTTTTGGCAGTGACTTTCTACTTAGATCTCCACAGATGAGCTTAAGTTTTTGGTTCTTTTATGTGGCCTTCTCATGTGCTGTTCTACTGAAGTTACATCCATAGTGTTTTACCCTGCTGATATCTAATATGGGATTTGATATTTTTGATGCTTACTGTTCTCATACTTATATAGCTTTAATGTCCAATTTATAAAAAGTTCAGTTTTCATCAGAAAAGCAATGTCGACATTTGATCATCCTATCTTTTTCTATAGGAGAATTGGTGATCTTAGTAAGGAAGATTCTTCTCTTGACTTCCTGGAGAACTTGACAAGTTTGTCCATATTATAAGGTTTTGAATGATTCAACTTTCAGAAGAGCTCTTTTATGTTTAAACTTCTCTTCACTGCATTGTTAGTTCATGTTTATAGTTTACATGCCATCTTTGTATGGTCTACAGATCATTGAGAAACTGCTGTGTGGCTGGCCAACTTCCAGATTACCTTAGCTACTCTGCTAACTTGAAAAAACTGTTAGTTTCCCTATCACTGAAAATAATCTACCATTCATGCTGATATCCTCTGCTCTCTCGAACCGCTTTTCCTCGTTGCACTTTGATATTGATTTCATTCTCGTTTTTCAAAAGTAAAATGCTATAGGAACTGGCTCATATTTCCAACATAATTGATCAGTCTCTTCAGATTTTCATGACAAAAGGTTATATACATCAAACTTCTGATTTCTCTACATTGTTGAAATGTAATCACCATGGAAGGGACTTGAGCTTCAACAAGCTGACAGGCCTAATTCCATACTTATACCAAAACTTTGCTTCATTGCAGTACCTGTAAGTTTTTCAATTTAGTTCATTTCTGCGCCATCATACCTACACTTTGCTTAATGGTGACTTCTTTCCATTTCAGGTATCTTGGAAACAACAATTTGACTGGGGAACTACCTCCATACATTATAAGCCCAAAGCTTGTTCCCCTGTAAGTTCTGAATTTTGAATAGGGATTGTCTTTCCTCAAGATGATGTGAACAAAATTGAACTTTTTGCTTGTTAAATTGAACTGTGCTTATTTCATTCAATGCTTTCTCAAATCTTTTGTGCGAAAATTGGCTGACTTTGTTTCTCTTCCATTTTAGGTACCTAAAGTATCAGAAGAGGTGTGTAAGTGAACGAAAGAAGTTGGGTATTGGTTACAGTGAGGTGTCTCTCTCTCAATTATTCTGAGAATCTTTATTCTTTTAGAAAGGCATTATGTTTGAGCTTCATAGTTTTTATTGTTTTCAAGTTGTCACATACGCACATGGATGAACTTGTTTGAACTTGGTTTTGCTTTATGCTTGTATATGTTAAGGAGCTTACGATGATTTCTCAATGGGTGTACTTATCTATTGGCATGCAGGAAATGAACACGTTGTTTAGGTTTTGGTCATATTTTCTGATAGATGTGTTTGTCCCTTCTATGTATAAAGATTTCCTGAAGTTTGCTCTGGGAGATGCTGCTGCTAATTATAGTTTGCTCTGATCAGAGCCTGGAGCTAAGTCTGCATTGTTCTTGAATATTGGACAGCTGGTCTGAAAGAGCTAGATATTTGGTTTTGATCCTTTTGAAGGATTAAAGCCAGCTCTTGTACCTAGAATTTTGTTGGAGTTTTGGTCAAGCAGAGGTTGGTACTGCAGTCTGGGATGTGCTGCATTCTATCTATTGGTTTTCTGTTCCGGAGTACTGTCTGCAGCTGTTTGTAGAGACTGAACTTTGAGGATTAGATAATGTAGCATGCGTACAGGAGCTGTTTAGCTGCTTTGTCTGATTCTTGTAACAGAATTTGGTAACAGTTTTTTCTGTTTTTCTGTTTTTCTGTTAATGCAGTTACTGTTTTCTGTTAAAACGGTTTCTATTTTTTATTCTTGTAATTTTTGGGATTGATGCAATAAATTTCTTCTATTTTTTTTTAAAAAAAAGATGTGATTTGGTGTTTATGTTTTTGTTAGTATTCTGCAGAACTGTACAAGTGGATGATGATGATCTGAGCTGAGCATAGATGCAGGAACTGTACTTTGGTTTTTAAAGGAGGTGAAGTCTGTTAGTAACTGGAATTGGTCCAGTTTTCTCTTTGTAGGCAGTCTCTGGTTTTATGCTAGATGCTGTCTTTGAATTGGTTGTTGGGCAGTTGGATTGCTACTGAGTTGCTGAGCTGCTGTGCTGCTGATTGATGAATGTTGATGGAGGAGATGAAAGAGCTGAGTTGAAGCTGCAGTGGTCAAGCAGTGCAGAAGTTGGAAAATAGTTGCTGTACAGGGCCTTTTGTGATTAACAGAATTTTTTCTGTATTTTTGTAGAGTCACTATTTTGGTTGTTATATTGTTACTGTTTTGATTAAATAGTTTCAGTTTTTGCTTCTTGTAATTTTGAATTTCATGCAAAAATTTTCTTTTTTTAAAAAAAAATAAAATTTGTTAGTATGGTATTTGGTGTTAGTTTGTGTCGGTTGTTGAATGAAAAAGATGTGAAATGTATTAATTGTGTTAGTTTTTTATTGAACACATGTATTATTAGCGTACATGTTAAAAATTTTATTAGAATACCATTATTGAAGTAGGGTTAATTTAAAAAAAAATTAACTTTTTGTGACGAAATTCAAATTGTTGCAAAAAATGAGGATCACTCTTTTTTCGCGACGCTTTATATACGTCTCAAATATATTTATTAAATTATGTTTTTACATTTTTATTTATGTAAGCAAGTATTTGCGACATAAAACAAATCGACGCCAAAATTAATTAAATTATAATTTCTTTTTGCAAAAAATAATTTATTTGTGACGCATGTTTTTACGTTGCTAAAATTAATTAATTAAATTTTTTTACATTTTTTGTATATGTAAAAATGTTTCGCGACGATATTTTTACGTCGCGCAAAATTTAAGTAAATTATTATTTTTTATATTTTTTATTTATGTAAAATATTATTTGTGATGATTTTTTTTATGTCGCGAAATATTAATTAAATTATTTTTTTAATTTTTTTTAACGTTGGTGGAATAGAGTTTAACTACATTTTTTTTTCGTCGCAAAAAATTTTTTAGCGAGGAAAAAAGTGCGTCGCAAAATACTTTCTGGGACGAGACTATTGCGACGAACATGCGACAAATAAAAAACATCGCAAATAATTATAGGCGACGATTTTTTTTTTAATTAGCAACGAAAAAATTGTCACAAAAAACTATTTTTGCTGTAGTGAATAAAAATATTAAGATAGTATCCAACTAAAATATAAAAATCTCGCATTATCAGATTAAGAATATTTCTACAAAACATAGGAATATTATTCTAATTTCATTGTGATTCATATGAACTAGTCTTCCTAATTTCAACAATATAGGTCCTAACTTTAGCAAAAACAACTTAAACACACATTAGTTCAAAACAAATAAGTTGAACACACAAAAATTCAAAACAACCATATCTAAAACACACGACAGTTCAAAAGTAAATAAGTGCACAACACAAATTAAAGTTCAAGTGCATAATTAAAAAGCTGAGTGAAAGATAATAAAGTTTTTTAGTAGAATCTTCAGTTTTTTTCTTCTAGGAAGTAGATGAGTCTCATCTAAAACGTTCTCTCAGTAGCCTAAAGATTTCTGCTTGGTTTTGTTCATAATCTTCCATACGTTTGTTGATATCTGTGATACTGTTACAAAGTTGGGTGACAGTGGTCTCTAATCTTAGCAAAATCTGTCTGTCAGTTCTGTCATCCACCGGTATGTATGGTTGATCCTCTTGTGGCTGTTGTTGTTCTGGTAGAATAAACTCTTCAGGGCCTTGGGATGGTTCTTTTTCTGCTGGAGGGGGTACCTCTGATTGTTCTTTTTGTTGTCCTCCATGACTTTTTCTCATTGAAGTTTTGTCTAACGGGACAATATAGTCTACAGTCTTCCATGTTGGATTGATAATCATTCCTTTGTTCCTGCAAAGTTGAGAAACTAGCATAGCATAGGAAAGTGAAGATTTCTTCCTATCCATAGCAAGTACCATTTGATTCAAGATTAAATTTGGTAGATCAATGGTATGCCCTATTCCGAATGCATATAGAAAATAAGCTTGCTCAGTGTAGATTTGATTCTTTTGGGCATGGGGTAATAAACTGTGTATTGTGATCAAGTTTAAAATTCAGTATTTATCAGTCAGGTCTCTTTGTTTGATATATTTATTCGGTCTGCCCCAACCAAATTTTGGATTACTCGTCACCTCTCTCCCTATGGTATCTAAATCAGGTAAATCAGTGTACGGGTATTGCGGGTTTTCAGGTCTTTGCATGGGTTGGAAAAATTCAGCTATAGTAGCCGGTGTAACTTGAAAAATAATACTTCGTACAAATGCCCCCAATTGTCTTTCCCCAATAATTTCAGCATTACTATAGAATTCTTAAACTAAACAGTCATACGTAGGAACAAATAATCTAACATATTGTAACCATCCTCTAGTTGCAAGAATTTGACGTACGCCTATGTTCTCAAAATCTTCATAAATAATCGACTTTTCAGAAAAAATAGTTTTAGTTAAAAAATTAGCATCATACCAGGCCTGTTGTTCAAAATTCTCAAACATCATCTCGTTGAAGATATTTTTCAGTCCCGGTTGTTGTGGAGGTGCTTAAGGTTGCCCGAGTTGATCTCTTCATGCTCGACTCGAAGATCCTCTCGTTCTTCGTCTCGAATCCATTTTTTTCTTGATTTCAATCGGTAGTTACCTTCAAAATATGATGGGTAAGAGAATAATCGGAACAAATTTGAAGAAAAATGATGAAATATTATAGATTTGAGAGAGTTTTCTTTGGATAGTTTTGGTTTGCCGAAATTCTTGATGTTCTTGGAGTGCAACAATGATCGGTTACATGGAGGAACAATATATATATTAAACACTACCGTCCAGACGCTGGGAGTACCGTCCAGATGGTCCAAAGTCTCGGCTCTGCCTTGTATTCTACTATTTTATTTTTTTTATTCCTTTAAATTTTAATAATACAAAATACAATTTTATCTGCTACAAAAATTTTTGCTAACTACTCTTTTTTTCTTGTCAAATTTGGTGGATTTTTGTTGATTTTATTTGTTATTTCATATTTACTTATTTTCCTTATTAATCTATAGTTATTTTCATTTATTTACAAATATTTATATACCTTTATTTATAAATATATATATATATATATATATATATATATATATCTATGTATATATATATGTATATATACATAGACATATATATATATACATA